ACCTAAGCATGCAAGTGTCTGAAGGGAGAACATGGCTTCAGTTTCTCAGCAGTAGCTACACATGTGGCTTTAGTGATTCTGAAAAGTTACATCCCAAAATGTTGCTAAGGAACCACACCTTCCCTGTTTTATTTAATGGAGGTTCAACTTCTATTTGTTCAGTTATTTAAGGACAGGCATTTTAAACCTCAATAAATTAAGCTATATGAGACCAAGATACATAAACAGAACTTCAACATAGTAAGATGCCTTCTGTAACAGGACCATTAGAGACTTCAGACACACAAAAAGCTCACACTGTCTACAGGATCACACATGTAGTTCTCCCCAAGGTCAAGTTTCCAATTGGCTGAGCCTGAGAGCTCACTCAATTTCACACTACCTGTGACACACTCAGTCTAGAAAGCTTTCCTTATGTGCTCTCCTTCCTGGCTAATGGACGGCAGCTTTTCACCAATCTCTTCCTCCCAGAAGCTTTCTTGTGCCATTGTCTTCCCCAGGGTGCTCATTTTCTGCTGCTTGGCTCCATGTTTCCAGAGAGACTGCTCACTCCCCTTGTCTTCTGACCCCTGACCCAGCAGGGAGTGACAGCAGCTGAAGGGACAGAGGCTTCTGGCTTTCTGTCTCATCTTGCTTGAGGGAAGGTTGGCTTGCTTACGTGCAGAATCTGCTTCCTCAGTCACCCTGTGTTCTCCACCCCAGGGGAATTTCAACTGTCCCTTCCTTTAGCTTCTCTAGCTCCTTTGCTTTGACCAACAACTCCTGACCATCTCCTGCCTTAACTTGTCTTCTTGGGGACACTTTTCACTTTGGTCCCACATCACTGAAGCAGCTGGGCCATAGTTATTGTCCCTCCTTCTCTGTGTGTCCCCTGATACAGATTCTCCTTCCTGTTCTGCTTCTCTTTCTTTCTCACCCCTGCTCTCTCCAGTGTCTTTCCTGTCATCCTCCTCTTCATTCTCCTCTTTTTAAAGGTCATAACACTTTTTGTCTGGAATGCTCTTTTTTTTTCTTTTTTCTTTTTTGTCTTTGTATTTCTATATGTAGTCTCTTGGAACATGGGCCTTCCATTTAAGGCAGAGGTCACTATTAATAGTACAGATCTCACGTATTTCTTTTCAGAATCTATTTCATCTGCCTTAAGTAGGTCATTGGTGTCATCTTCCCTGTACTTCCTGCTTGATTGCACGAGGTTTTCATTCTTCTCCCACGTGGAGAATCCTATGGAGTCAAAATGTATCATATTGTTCCTGTTTGAAACCCACAGGACTGCAGCAGTTGCCCCCACACTTTAGAAAGTGGTACCAAAATTTCTGCTGGGTCTATTTCTGCTCATTGATAAAGCCTCATTTTCCCTTTCAGAATCTTTCCAGAATATATTTCTACATAGTTCTTTAAATATTTACTCTGTTTGTGTGTTTAATTATTCATTCTGAGACAGACAGTATGTTATCTCTGCATAAGAATTCCTGTGGGAGAATGAGTAGAAGGCAAAGTATCTAAAATACAATCAAGCTTTGGATCCAAGCAATCCACACGTGTAACTTATAATTTGTTTTATAGCAGAGCCAATTCTCTTTCCCAGCCTCAGCTGATAATTTTTTTGGATTCTTAATTCCTTTTTCGGTTTTTAGGTTTTGAATTAATTTCTTTTTGCTTTATTTATTTGTTGTTTATTCCATTTTTTTGCCGTTGAGGTTTTCTTGGCATTTTTTTATTTTTTGTGAGTTTGTAATTGATCTCTCCTAATTTGTTTTTTCTGTGATCGAATTTCCTGGAGACCTCTCTATATCCTAGATAACTGATGGACCCTCCTCTTAGTATATTTTAAGGAATGCTTTGTAATAACCACTAAAGCAAAATTCTCTTTCCATCATCAAACATCCCCCCCCACCCACCATTGAGGTATCTGCATCTGAAACTGCCAGTATGATATCATCCATATTATGAAAATTTTAGATTGAGGAAACTGTTTATAAATTATTTCTAATGGCTGTTGAACAAAATATTGGCAGAAACTGGGGCTGTTCAACATTCCTTATGGAATAACTTTCCACTTAACCTTTTAACAGGTTGAACATTATTACCAGTAGGCACTGTGAAGGCAAATTTTTCTTTATCCTGTTCTTGTAAAGGTGTAGTAAAAAAAAAAAAAAGCGGTCTTTTAAATCACTCAGTATAATAGACTATTGCTGGAATTCTAAATGGTCTTATAATAAAAACCATGACCCTGATATTGGGATAAGTGCTGAAAGATCAGAGAGACAAAGGAACAAACCACAAGAGAAACTTCTCACCACTACCAATCTTCAGCCCCAATGGAAGACAAGATCCCATATCCACGAATCCTCTGACTGAAAGCTTCTGAGTCCTCAGCCAAAAAGCCTGTAGTTCCTGTCTCCTCACACCTTATGTGCCTTTCTCCACCCAGCCATATCACTTCCTTCCTAATGCTGGGATTAAATGTATGTGTGCTTCCCAAATACTGGTAGCAAAGGCATGAGATCTCAAGTGCTGGGATTAAAGGTGTGTGCCACCACTGCCTGGCTCTGTTTCTCTCCTGGACGGAATCAATCTCCTGTAGTTCAGGGAGATCCAGATAGATCTCTGCTTCCTGAGTGCTAGGTTTCAAGGTATGCGCTGTCATCACTGTTTGGCTTCTATACTTATTCTAGTGGCTGGCACTGTCCTGTGATCCTCAGGCAAGCTTTATTTGATATCTAATACATCACCACAACAGACCATCTCTTAGTAATAAAGAAGCGTTTCTGTGGGGTGCTAGTTTCTTCCATCTTTGGAGCTATGGCCTATGTGGACAAGCTCTCTCTGATCTACCCTACTGTTCCCTCTCCATGTGAATTTCAGGTCTATCCCCCTTTTCTTTCACATGTCCCTTTGTACACATGTACGTGGGATTACAGAATCTAACCAGAGTTGGAATGGACACTAGAGTCCATCAGCCCACCTTTTCACAATTTCTGCTGCATCGGAGAATTCCCTGAAAAGCCATTAATCCTTTCCTGTTCTGGGCACTTTTCTTTTTCAGCATACCCTTTTGTAATTTTCAAATTTTTATTTTTTTATGCATGCACTCAGTTTTAGTAATCAACATAATGTAATCAATAAGAAGAAAACAAATATTTTTACACTGAAATTTGCACATATGGTCATTTCTTTTCCTTGACTATGACAGGGTAGCCATTATATAGTAGCTATTCTAAACTCATTAAAAAAACTCAGACCTCAGTAAGATTAAAGTGAGGCATTTATGCAAGAAAATTCAGCTCTCAAGACATAGAGAGATGGCTGAGTGGTTAAGTGCCCTGACTGATCTTCCAGACGACCTGAGTTTGATTCCCAACACACATAGCTCAAAACTGTCTATAACTTCTGTTCCAGAACTGAAGTCCACTTCTATTAATCTCACATATTAGAGGATAAAGACTGCTGACTTAAATAATCATGGTCAAATTAATTAAAGGAAGCTTTTTAAAAATTTTTGTGTACAATGGCTGTCTCTCCTTAAAGGTGGGTTTCAAAAGACCACCTTGCACATGGGTAATATAAGAGTTTTCATAGTTCAGGAGTAGGGGGTTTCCAAATGGGGGATTTGGCAGGCAAATAGGCAGGTTTACAGAAGCAGAACATAAGCAATCAAGTTGGTCATAACAACCTCCTGTAGTAAATACATGACTGCAATGTATTCATAACAAGGTAGTCATTAGAGGATGGTCATAACAATGTAGTCATAATCATCTTTTAACAAAAAGGCATGGTTGCCGTTTCCTGGAACAGGCAGCATAGAACCATTTATAGTTAAGGTTATAGGTGGAGCATAGTCCAATCCTTCATCTTGGTGGATCTTTCCTGTGATGAGTATGTAATGTCCTTCTTGATCTCTTTTGATTGATTTTAGTTTGAAGTCTATTTTGTTGGATAAAAATAATACACCAGCTTGCTTATTAAGACCATTTGATTGGAAAGACTTTTCCCAGCCTTTTACTCTGAGGTAGTATCTATCTTTGAAGTTGAGGTGTGTTTCTTGTATGCATCAGAAAGATGGGTCCTGCTTTCATATCCATTCTGTTAGGCTGTGTCTTTTTATAGGTGAATTAATTCAATTGATATTAAGGGATATTAATGAATAATTATTAATTAATAACCAGTGATTGTTAATATCTGTTATCTTTTGGTGGTAGTGTGTGTGTATTTCTGTTCTTTGGCATTTACTACTGTGGGGTTATCTATTGCCTGTGTTTTCGTGGGTGTATCTGACTTCCTTAGGTTGGAATTTTCCTTCTTGTGCTTTCTGTAGGGTTGGATTTGTGCATAGGTATTGTTTAAATCTGGTTTTGTCTTAGAATGTCTTGTTCACTCCATCTTTGGTGACTGAAAATTTTGCTGGGTATATTAGTCTAGGCTGGCATCCATGGTCTCTTAGTGTGTGTATTACATCTGTCCAGGTCCTTCTGACTTTCAAAGTCTCTATTGAGAAGTCAAGTGTTATTCTGATGGGTCTGCCTTTCTAAGTCACTTGGCCTTTTTTCTTTGCTACTCTTAATATTCTTTCTTTATTCTGTTATATGTTTAGTGGTTTAATTATTATGGGGACTTTTTTGGAGGGTCTAGGCTGTTTGGTGTTTTATATTAAGTTGGGAAAGTCTTCTTCTTTCATCTTGTTGAATATATTTTCTGTGCCTTTGAGTTGGTATTTGTTCCTTTCTTCTTTAGCTATTATTCTTAGGTTTGGCCTTTTCATGGTGTCCCAGATTTCTGGACATTTTGTGTTATGACTTTTTTGGCTTTGGTGTTTTCTTTGACTGATAAATCTATTTCCTCTATTGTGTCCTCTACACCAGAGATCCTCTCTTCCATCTCTTGTATTCTGTTGGTTATGCTTGCATCTGTGTTTCCTGTTCATTTACTCAGATTTTCTATTTCCAGCATTCCCTCTGTTTGTGTCTTCTTCATTGTTTCTATTTCACTTTTCAGGTCTTGAACTATTTCCCTCACATGTTTAATTGATTTTTCATGGTTTTCTTAGCTTTCTTTAAGAGATTTATTGATTTCCTCCAATTGTTTGTCTGTGTTTTCCTCAATTTCTTTATTGATTTTTTCCAATTTTTTGTTTGTCTTTTTCTCAATTGCTTTAAGGGAATTTTTTCATTTTTTCTTGAAAGGCCTTTAGCATCTTTATGGAGCTATTTTTAAGGTCACTTTCTTCTGCTTCTTCTACACTGTGATGTTCAGGTCTTGCTGTTGGAGGAGTGCTGGGTTCTGCTGAGGCCATATTGCTCTTTGTGTTGTTGTATGTATTTTTGCATTGATGTCTGTGCATCTCCTCCTGTAATAGGTGCAAGAGGTGCCTGTGTCTGAGTGAGGTGCTATTGGTCCACGCTGTGCTTGTTGTGTCTGTGTTTCAGGGGGGCACTCTGGGTCCAATCAGAGCTCTTGGTCTGATTGGAGCTGGCAGATTCTGTATCTCAGGGAGCTGCTCTTAGCCCAATCCAAGCTAGCTGATTCTGTGACTCATGGAGCTGCTCTTGCTCTTATCCGGGCTCTTGGTCCAGTCAGAGCTGACAGACTCTGTGTCTCAGGAAGCCTCTGTTGGTCCAGTGAGAGCTGGCGGATTCCCTGTCTCAGGAAGTTACTCTTGATCCAATGAGAGTTCTTGATCCAATGAGAGCTGGCAGTTTTGTTTCCTTGTCTCAAGAAGTTACTGGGGTCACAAGCAGGTGGGTATTGGGGCAAGGCGTGGAACTTGTAGATTGCAGGGTCCGATGTGGGGTTTTGGTGAGGGGGCCTTCCTGCAGGAGGTTTCCCTGCTGGCTGGCAACTGGGGCACAGTTGGATGGGGGTTCCTAAGGACTGGCTGTATCCCAGGGCCTGGGACCTAGTGGCAGGACTCTCTAGGTGATAGTTGAGAGATTTTTAATTACTGTTACCATCTCATTGTTATATGTCTTTTACATTATTTAATTCACCTTGAATTAACTTTGGTAGGCAATATAAATCTAGAAATTCATCTGTTGCTTTTAGATTTCCCAGTTTGGTAGGATAAATTTTTTATTTAAGTATGTCCTCATGATTTTGAGTTGCTGCACGGCCGATAGTTGCCACACCAACTCCAGTGTCAGCTGTGTGACATGAACAATTATGTCAATAATAGCCATCGGGAGATACGTGTACCATGAGACTAAGCTCCCTGGAGGTCCCTGGCAGAGTGCCTGCATTATGCTTCCTTCTCAAAGATGTACTTCACAGATCATGAACTCCCTGGGCTATGGGTTCTGTATAACTGTTTTTCTGATAATGTTCTAATTAATCTATGAAGCACAGCCAAAATTAATGAATGCTTGGGTTGTGAACTATGGAGGAAAGGGGAAGCTGGACATGGATCTTAATCAGATATAACAGAATGAGCTGTTTCTTGAAGACCACAAGCCACTAGGAAAAAAAAGTATAAAGGTTCAGGCACTTCTAGGGAATGAACACTTACCCACTAGGAATCCTTTAAGAATCCCAACTAAAGTGATTTATGGTAGAAAATATTATCTCATAGGAGGAAGATGATGGGCCCCTCTGTTGAGGAAGTTCAGCATGGGAAACTTAAAGACTACAGCAGAACCCCTTCCCCTTGCAGGCGTAAAAGTATAAGAGTCCATATTCCAGCAGATAAAAAGGTTTTATATTAAAAGAGATATGTGGTGGGAGAACTAAAGAAAAACTTAGAGAGGGTCTGCAGCATCCAAATTGGCTAAGTGGGTTATGAGAACCAAAAAAGTAGACGTGTATAATAAACTAAAAAACTGCTGAGATAAGACAAAGGACACAGCTGCAACCCCATGAAGTCTGCACAAATCTAGGGACTGTATTAAGTTTAAAAATCACAGACTGCTCTTTGGGTCATAAAGTTCTTGTGGGTGAAGGGATATGTCTAGCGCCGATTAAAAATTGTGTGCTTGCTGTTTTTTAAAGATGATGTAATTGAATTATTGCCAAGTTCTTGTTGTTCCTTGTATGACTTGATAGTTTTATTTTCTGTATATAATCTACTGATTTACAAAAGTAAAATTGCAGCCGATTCAAACTACTTCTGAGTGTGTTGTCTGTCTGTCATTGCCGACTCCTTGTCTTCCTGAGTACCCAAGTCCTGGTTCTTCTACGGTCATGGTGGTCATGGTACCCGCGATGGGCCAGTCCGTGGTATAGTGATGTCTCCCTTTTTATCCTAATTGTAGTAATTTAGATCTTTTCTCTTTTTTCACTAATTTGGCTACAATGTGCCAATCTCGTTAAATATTTTTTGAAGAGTCTACTGTTTCTTTGATTCTTTGTATTTTTTGGGTTTTGTTTGTTTCTATTTCATTAATTTTAGCCCCACATTTGATTATCTCTTCCCATGCTGTTTTGGGATGCTGAAGCCAGCAACACCACACACAACCCAGAAATGCAATTTCAAATCACATAAAAAGCCCTCCCATGAGGCAGACAAACACTTATGAAGGTAGGATGTTAGAAAGCTCTTTATTTCAAAATTGTCATTGCACTTATGGATAAGGTCACTTGGGTCACAGGCAAACCATGGAGAGTGGATAAAAGGCAGACACAGGAACACCTTTTCCTCAGGGAGAGGAGAACCGGCCACAGAACAGAATGCCATTGGTCTTAACATGCTGAATGAAGAAAAGGAAGGGGTGGTCGGCACAGAAGCGGGGGGTGAACCTCATGCACCTCAGCATCATGATGGCAGCTGTGGCAGCCGCAGCCTCAGTGCCCTCCTCATTGACCTCCACAAAGGACTTATGCACAACCTTGGAGAGGAACAAGCCTTCCTTAGAAGATATTCCAGAAAAGTCTGCCCTGTAGTCAAAGGCATCAGTCATACTCAGCTTGCACAGGAATTCCTTCATGTCATAATTCTCCTCCAGTTTAAACCGTGGGAGGAAAACCTCCACCTCTTCTTTATCCATCTTGTCCAGCCTTGTCCACTCTATGAATTTCTCATAAGTTATTTCCTTTTCCATCTAGAAGAGAGTTAAAGACTTCAGGACAGTGTTGTCACAGGGCACTTGAGATGAAGGGGAGGCTCTACACTGCACGGGGAAGTGTCAGTGCAGCTGTAAGTGTCAATACAGTAGCTGGGAGGGGTGAGTACAGCTCAGTGGTGAGTATTTGTTAAGCAGGCTCCAGGCTCTGGGTTCCACCCCAGCCTCACAAATGAATGGAAGACAAAAACATGATCATAGGAGCCTAGAAGAGCTGCCTCAGCAGAAACCCAAGTGCCATTCAATTTTTCTCTCATAACCCCATCAAGGCCCCACACTCCTTACCGTTCTCAGTTCAACGTGCTCATCTGGAAGCATGATGATCATGTTCAGCTCTTTGCCGACATAGGGAAGCAACAGAATCTTAGTGAATATCTCTCCAATATAGGTCATGTTAACGGTAGACTTCTTAAACATCATTTGCACAGGTTTCTCCTCATTCTGTGAAGGACAGATGAATATTAAATTGAAAGGAGACACAAGTGAAACATTGGGCAGATTCAATCAAGGAAGCCAGTCACTGCAACTAGGAATACCTGCCTTTTTTTTTTATTATATTATATATGTATGAGTATTTGGCCTGAATGTGTGTATGCGTACCACACGACTATGTGCATTTATTATCTGCATATTTCAAAAAGGGGTGTCAAATCCCTCTGTAACTAGAGTTATGGATGGTTATTAGACACCAGTGGGTGCTGGATTCGAACTTTGCTCCTCTTCAAGAACATTTTTTTCTAATTATTGAGCCATCTCTCCAGTCTTAGGAGCATTTTCTTAGATTGACTTCTAGAACACTTCATCAGCCTCCCAAATACTTGTCTAGACCTTACATGCCCCAAAGGCCCCCTTTTCAAGGCTTGGTCCTCAGGAGTGCTAGATTGGGAGGAGGTGGAATCTTGCCTGTTTGACACAGAGTCTCACTATGCAGCTCTAGTTGGCTTCAAACTTGCTACACAGACCAGGCTGGCCTTGAATGCACAGAGAGCTACCTACCTGTTTCTGTCTCCCAAGTGTTGTGAGTAAAGGTGTGTGCCACCATGCCTGGCAAGGGAACAGAATCTCTAAGTGGTGGGGAATAGAGGGAGGTGTGTGTGTCATTGGGATGTGTCCTTGAAAGGGGTTGTGGGATCCTGGACTTTTCCTTTCTTTCACTTCCTGGTCTTGAAATGAACCATTTTACTTCAGTACCTGCTCCTAGGATGCCATTCCAGTGGCATACCCTGAAAACAGGCCCCAAAACAATGGGTTCATGTCATCACAGACTTAAACCTCTAACACCGAGTCAAATAAACCCTTTCTCTTATTAAGTTGTCTGTCTCTTCACTTTAGTGTCAGAAAGTTGACTGACCCAATCGCCAAACACCTGTGATGTCCTGGGCCCACAATTCTTCTCTACTGGGGGTCTCATTTATTCTCATAACTTTGAACATATTCCCAAATTCACTGTTCTGGCCTGGACTCCTCCCTGAACTCTGAAATAATGCATTTTATAGTCGATTTGACTCCTGCACTTTGATATTCCTTTGTATAGCTTCTCTGCCTACAATTCTTACATGTCCTCCTTTCACTTGCCAAAACCAATCTGTGTCCTTGACTTCTGTCACTCTCTCATACCCTGCATTTGTCTCATTACCAAACTGTGTTGTCTGTCCCTTTGAAATAGAACCCGAATCTGACTTTATTTCTAAACCTCCTCCTCATTCAGCACAGCCCTGGGGTACAGTGATGACCTCCTTGTCACTGACCTCAACACAGCAGCCAGAGTTCCCAGCACAGTGTAAGTTAGACCACACCACTGTGGCTGTACCCCTTTGTGTGGTACCACTCTAGCAGGAACAAAAGTTGAAGTCCTTAAAAGGACTTAAAAAAGTCACCCTGGTATAGAAAAGAGCCCGCCCTGCTTCCTGTTCTACTCCACTCTATCTTCTTTGATGCAGTCATAGGGCTGTTTGTAGTGTTGTGGTTAACTAGATTAAGTCCCTTTCTGCCCAACAAACTAGTCCTCAGACCTGGAACATTCCTCTTATGTCCTGGTGTCTGCTCACATATCATCTCCCAGGGAAGGTTTCCTCCGCAGCTCTCCTCTGCAACCACACTCAAGTACAGCATCCTGCCACCTACTTTGCATGTCTCTGATGCCCTCCCAGCAACCTCTGTGGTCTTACCTAGGCTTATCTCCAATTTCTCTCCACTAGGAAAACAAAGCTTCATGAGGGCAGACACACTCAACCAGTTAATGTCTGGTGCACAGTGGGCTCTTATGTAACATATTTAGACCATATTAGTGGCAAATTAGTGAGCAGGAATACTTCTTGTAATAAAAATACAAATTCATATCAACATAAAATCTTGTGGTTTGGAGGCATGACAATATATAAGGATTATAGTCAACATCTGATGAAGCCACAGAACAGTCTATGTTGACGGCAGAGACAAGGAAGCAAGACAATGCCTCTTGGCCCTGTACTTAGCAGGGGCCACAGTAAGTAGTTCCTTTTATATAGTAAATGAGAAAAGTCTCTGAGGGAGGCTTTTTGTTCTCAGTCTTATATCCTTCCCCGTGGACTGCTGAGTCAGCACCAAAGTCTTGATGTGAGCATGAGGGAAAGGCTCTATACTAACGGTGGTAGAGCAGGAAAGGAGAATCAGTTCCCAAGAGCATCACCCCATGCAGGAAGCCCCAGTTCTACCCATTTCCTTCCCTCCTGGTGGGTGATGAACTTGTATGAGTTCAACTATAGTCATCTAGGGTTTCTGTTGCTTGCAGTTGAAGGAAGTCATAATGGACACTTTGTCAACAACTGATTTCAAAGACAGAAATACTTTAATCAGGAGAAAAGAGAACAGCTTATTTAAGAATAAATCTTGAAATAAAATGTGTTTCCTAAGAAAACAGAGGTTCAAATTAAAGTTTGCCTTGGATTTTAAGGAATGGTTAATGATCCAGAATGTGATATAATTAATTTGTTTTTTCAGCCAAGGAGTATGAGAGAAAGAGATAGAGATAGAGATAGAGATAGAGATAGAGATAGAGATGAGATAGATAGATAGATAGATAGAGAGAACTAGATATAAGAAAACACTGGGCCACCAGCAAATAACATGCTCCAACCTCAAAGAGGTTGAATGTAGAGTCTATTCCATAAACGCATCCTTTGTGTGCTTATCTGCTGTGGATATCACTGTATAAATAAAATGCTGATTGGCCAGTGGCCAGGCAGGAAGTATAAGCCGGAGAAGCAGAGAAGAG